TGTGTGTGTGTGTCTCATGAATAAATATATTTTTTGCAGAAAAGTTTGCTGACTTCTGGCCTAATGTAATTACAGTGATTGTTATTTTTTCTCTTCTAAGTTTTTATTTTGGGAAATGTCAAATCTACAAAGTATTTCAAAGATACTATAATGAACATTTAAATGCCTTTCTCCTTGATTAGCACTTAACATTTTCTCACATTTGCTTCCTCTCTTCTCTTAGATGAGGACATCATAACTCAATACTTCTATTTAGTATAATCTAAATAAATACATATATATGTGTATACACATTAGCATATATCTCCTAAGAATAAGGATAGACTTTTATGTAGCCCCAGGAATTTAATATTGATGATATAAGCAGACCGTATCCAAATTTTCCAATCCAGTTTCTTGTGTGCAGGATTAATCATTGGTTTTAGTGGTCATGTGTCATTACTGTTCTTTTCTCTAGAACAATTGCCCAGCCTTAAGTCTTTTTTTCCCCCCTCAGCTGATTAAGGCATAATTGACATATAAAATTGTAAGATATTTAAAGTGTTCATCCTGATGATTTGATATCCATAATGGAAGGATTATTTCCTGTTTTCATGACATCAACGTATTTGAAGAGTGTGGACTGGGTATTGTACAGAACGTCCCTCATCTTGGATTTTTTTGATCATTTCTTGAGGATTCGATTCAGGTTTTAGCATTTTGGCAGGAATGCCAACGAGGTGATGTGTCCTTCTCGGTAAGGGCACCCCATCAGGAGCCCAGTGATTGTTAATGCAGCAAAATCACATTGATAGTGGTAGTCAGATGGGCTTGACTGGGCTTGACATTTTGCATCCCAAAATGGTGGGATGCAAAATGACCTGCTTACAAATCTACAGTTTATTCACAGAAAGGGCACAAAGGTAGCAACTGCATTGAAAGGGAACATTTCACAGCCGAAGGCCATCCTACCCCGGGGGCTGGAAAGTCCAGGTGCACGTTCCTATTACCCCTCTCTTGGCTCAGGAACCACCTGCATTGCACAGAATGCCTTGGAACAGGTGCTCTGTTCATACAGACAATCCAGGTGTGCACAAAGATCCCAAATGTTTGCAGTCATTGCAGGGTTGGGACTCATTTAAACAGAGAGCCGATCCATCCAATAATAATAGAAGCACAAATGTTTCATACTTGACAATTCTTTTCTTCCCTGATCAAATGAGTATCTGTACTTTATGGCATATTTCCATTGACTAATCAAACCATACTTAATCTATTTTTGATTATTTTGTCCCTTCCAACAAAATCAACCTTTTCTTTTTTTTTAAATCAACCTTTTCTCATGTACCGTATCTTAGTTCCCATAGGAGCATAGATCAGAAGTCTTGTCTCTATTATTTCACGACCAAATGTGACATGCAAACCCAAAGACATAGTCACAGTACTGCTGTTCCTTGTGGTCACATAGACCTCACACCTGTTCATTGGTTGTGAGGACGTAGATGACGCCCAGAAAGTCATCAGGTTGGAAATTGTCAGCTGGCTTATTTTTTTTTTTAATGTGGTGAAATATTTACTACTTAAGTCGATCATTTTTCTGTGTACAGTGCAGGGGTATTAAGTGCATTCACCATGCAACCCCTATCAATTTCCAGAACTTGCTCATCATCCCAAATAGAAATTCTGTACCATTTAAAAACTCCTCGTTCCTTGCTCCCTATAGGCCCTGGTAACTTCTATTCTGCTTTCTGTCTTAATAAATTTGCCTATTCTAGCTGCTTCCTCCAAGTTAAATCATTACCATGTTTGTTCCTTGTGTCTGGCTTATTTCATTTATCGTAATGTTTTCAAGGTTCATCCATGTTGTACCACGTATCAGAATTTCATTCCTTCTAAAGATGATATTCCTTTGTCCACACATGCCTATTTGTTCGCCTGTTCATCTGTTGGTGACCATTTGGGCTGTTTCCACATTCTGACTGTTGCAAACAATGGTGTGATGAACATCGGTATGTATTTGTTTTAGTTCCTGCTTTTAATTCTTTGTGGTGTATGCCTAGGATTAGAATTGATGGATCAGGGGATCCCTGGGTGGCGCAGCGGTTTGGTGCCTGCCTTTGGCCCAGGGCGTGATCCTGGAGACCCGGGATCGAGTCCCACATCATGCTCCCAGTGCATGGAGCCTGCTTCTCCCTCTGCCTATGTCTCTGCCTCTCTCTCTCTCTCTCTCTCTCACTGTGTGCCTATCATAAATAAATAAAAATTAAAAAAAAAAAGAGACTCCATCCAGCCTTTGTGTCAGTCTTCTTCCTCTGTTATGGCCTTGATTTTTTTTTAGATAAGGAATGTCAATTATTTTTAAATTTTGAAATAATATCAATCTTAAAGAAAATCTGCAAGTGAGGAACAAAGAACTACTACCTGGGATCCCTGGGTGGCTCAGAGGTTTAGTGCCTGCCTTTGGCCCAGGTTGTGATCCTGGAGTACCGGTATCGAGTCCCGCATCGGGCTCCCTGCATGGAGCCTGTTTCTCCCTCTGCCTGCCTCTCTCTCTCTCTGTGTCTCTCATGAATAAATAAATAAGGGACACCTGGGTGGCTCAGCAGTTGAGCGTCTGCCTTTGGCTCAGGGCATGATCTCAGGATCCAGGATCGAGTCCTCATCGGGCTCCCTGCATGGAACCTGCTTCTCCCTCTATGTCTCTGCTTCTCTCTCTCTGTGTATCTCTTATGAATAAATAATAAATCTTAAAAAAAAAAAAAGAGAGGCACTGCTCCTCGTTCTAAAATTCTCAGGAATCATTTTAACACAGGTTTATTAGGATGATGTTTGTAATGATCTAGAAAATGATTCCGCTCCTTCACTGAATAATCCCTTTTTTCCATGGTTTCTTGCCCTCCCTTGTCATCTTGCCCCACTTGAATTATCTCCTTTGTTGACATAAGTCTCACAGAATTAGCGGATTCATCAAATATTACAGTGCCAGCCAGAAAGGGCAGAGCTCACCCCAAGGAGATTCTGAATTTACTTTCATTTTGCTGATGCTCAAAGCAGCAACCACAGAACTGAATTTTTAGCTGACCTGACATCAGTTTGCATTCCCTTCTGGTCCATTTTTCTAGCTCCTGAGGTTCAGATTCTTTCATCTCCAGATTTCACTGGAATGTTTTACTACTGGTGTCTAATTTCAAAGTCTCTGTTACTTCAAACCAAAAGTAACTTGTGCATTTTGATCCTCTTTATCAGAAACACCCTTTTTCTCTCTAGTAATGCCCTAGCCAGTAAGAATGAGTCAGGGTTTTATCAGTAAGTCCTACATCTGATGCCAGCTGCTGAAATGGTTTAACAGGCTTTAGTTGCTAAAGATTCACAGGATCCTAAATGACAATACTAACAAACTTAGTTTATTACAGGAAAAAAATACAATATAGCAGTAATATTTAAGTAATACACTTATTATTCAAGATATACACTGCAGCCAAAGGCTGTCTCATAGCAAGAGCTTTCCAGCTTTCTCATAGCTGGAAGAGCCAGGTACAGGGTTCTATTACGCTTCTTCTGTAAGAGCCAACACAAATTAAAAAAAAAAAAAAATAGAGTCAGGGACCCCTGGGTGGCGCAGCGGTTTGGCGCCTGCCTTTGGCCCAGGGCGCGATCCTGGAGACCCGGGATCGGGTCCCACGTCGGGCTCCCGGTGCATGGAGCCTGCTTGTCCCTCTGCCTGTGTCTCTGCCCCTCTCTCTCTCTCTCTCTGTGTGACTATCATAAGTAAATAAAAATTTAAAAAAGAGCCAACACAGAACCCGCTTTCACCTCTGGCGCAGGAACCAGCAACATGTGCCTGGAACACTTTGGGGCACGGAGCCCAAAATAGAGTCTCTGCTAGTTTCTCTTTTCAATATTTCGCTGGTCACATTGGCATATTCCCACCATGTAACTAGTTCCAACTGCACAACACTTTGGCTTTTGTCAGTGAATACCGCTGAGAGGCTGACCTAAGCTACCCTGAAGCTGCTTGAACCAATACTGATGGGTGAGGTCAGCGTGCGTCATGCCTTGACCGGGGTCGGCACCCGCAGGGACGCGGACAAACAGCTCAGGTCCTACCACAGGTGGCTCTCGCGGCCTATGTAACTTAGCTCTGGGCAGTGCTTCACGGTTTACGGACTGGAGGGTTCTTACCAACTTGAATAAGCCGGTATTATCGTCCCTACTTAGAAATGAAGAACGTGAGGTTCCGAGAGCCTGTGACGTGCTGTCGGTTCCCCTGAAGCGCCCGTGTGCCCCGTGTGCCCCGTGCGCCTCCTGCTTTCTGTCCTCTTGACGCCGAGCTGAGGTTTGCGCACCTTTTCCTCCCGTCGTCTTCTGAGTACTGCCAGTTAGGCCTGCGCCTCTGAGCAACGTGCGGATTGGGTGATCGTGCCTGGGGGATTTCACTCACGGAATCACGCTGCGGTGTGTCCCGGTGCCGCTCCCCCAGCCCCAGCAGGTCACGCCCCAGGGCGAGCCCCGCCGCTGGCGGCGGTTGCCAGCAATCTTCACTGTTGAAATAGATCGTAGAGGACTGGGCCTTCGGGCATTTGCTTCCTTCCCAGGTCTTGGGGACTGCACGGAGCGGCGCTCTAGGCCCGCTCCGTGTCCACCGTGCGGACGTGCCCTTGTTTTCTCCAGGGCGACGTATTCCCCAGAAAGGCCGCGCATCCTCGAGCTCACCGGGTCACGCCGCAGGACTCCACAGTCACCACAGTGACGCTTCCACGGCAGCGACTGACGCGGCGGCACAGGCGCAGAGCGTGCACAGCCGCGTGCGCACACACCCTCCGCTCAGCCCGCACGCACACGCGTCCGCAGACGTGCACACACGCACGCTCGACGCGACGCCACCCCCACACCGGGTTCACACTCGCACACGCACGCGCGCGCCCGGCATGCGCCGCACGTCTACGCGCACAGCCCTCGCGGTCACACGCCGGCCCCCCACGTGACCCGGCCAGGGGGCGTGGACTCGGCCGCTCGCGGCTGCGGAAGCTTGTCCCGGCCGCGCCGCCGTCGGACGCCAGGTGTCGGAGGTCGCGGCGGCGTTGGCGGTGGCGTTTTTTTCTACCCGGAAACCACGGCTGCCGGAGCCCGGGACGAGTCTGTCGCCACGGCGTGAGCCCGACTGGCCTGTGGGCCTCGCCTGGGCCCCGCGGAGACGATGGTGCCGAGCGGCCCCGGGCCCGCCGCGCGCCGCCGCGAGTGAGCTGTGAGCGGCCGCGGGCGTCCGCCGAGCAGCTGGCCGGGCCGGGCCCGGGGCGCGCCGCTGCCCACCGGGGCGGGGTGAGCCGGGGCGGGGCGGGAGCCGGGAGCCGGCCGCCGGCCGCGCTGGGTGGGGGCGGACTCTGGCGGGCTGTCCCCGGCGCCCCCGGGGGCCGCAGCCCCCGCCCCCGCCGCTGGGGGGGGGGGGTCGCTCCGCGCTGGCCGGGTCTGGCCTGCGCCGCCGGCCTGGGCCTGCTCGCCCGCCGGCCCGAGATGGCCGGGCCTCCACGTACGGGCCTGAGGCCTGCACAACTGGGCCTTGGCCCGGGGAACAGTGTGGTCGTTGGCCCTTTTTGAGTTTGGGTCGTGTTCGCGTTGCTTCCCCGTCTGCAGACTATACACGCCTCAGAGGGAAGGTGGGAGACAGACGTCTGTGCGGAGACTTCAAATAGCGTTTTTGTGTGTGTCGAAGTTGGTAGAAACCCAGGGAGGAGGCGGGTTAGGAGCTCCACTCATATTTTGACAAAGCAAGCTGAGGAGTGGCTTCAGGGTCATCCAGAGGCACGTAGTTTTGTTTCCCTTGATAAGCACCGTTAGGAATAAAAGCAAGCCTGTTGTGCTGTTTTGAATTGCGTGAGCATCGCGACGGGGGAACAGCCGGTGAGGGGGCCTTCGTTGCAGAATCCGGTGCCTGTAGTCTGTTGCCGACCAGCGGTTTGCAGCCCTCGCTCAGCGATGAATGGGGAGCTGCCCTGCAAACTGCCTCAAAGCCGGAGACCGCGGCTCCTCCCGACCCGCTACTTTCCTGCCTCGACGGTGGGCCGCTGTGGGAGGCAGTGGGAGGACGAATTCCAGCGCTGGAATTTGATTAATTTGATGACGAATGTTTAATAAACTGTTTTGACCCGAAAGCTCCCGGTTAGATTGGGGTCTGAGCATCTGTCTCCTGCCTGTATATGGAATTGCGCAAAGGGTGAGAACACCTTCCAGCTTCCTCATTTAAGACAAGGAAATAGACCTGTTGTGAGCTGAGACGTACTTCATGACTCCAAGCATGTTTTCTCTCTTGGATAAGGAGGCGGTTGTGTTGGCTTCCGAGTAGAGGTGCGGGAAGAATTTCTCTGGTCTGATTGAGATCGCCTGGAAGGGGGGCTGCCCCCCACGCCTGGGTACTGAGATCCCCAAATGCTGATCAAGCACACACCTCTGTTTGGGCTGTAGCTGCAGCCGCTACAGGAAGAGAGGCAAGAACTCAATGCAAATACAGTTTTTCTTGCAGGGAACTTACTTAGAAAAAGCAATAGGTTATAAAAAGTGGTAGGGTGTAATTGCCATATGGAGATAAAATTATTAGGGTGTTTTTTTTTTTTAAGATTTTATTTATTTATTCACGAGAGACACAGAGAGAGAGAGAGAGAGGCAGAGACACAGGCAGAAAGAGAAGCAGGCTCCATGCAGGGAGCCCGACGTGGGACTCGATCCCAGGGCTCCAGGATCATGCTCTGGGCCGAAGGCAGGCGCTAAACAGCTGAGCCACCCAGGGATTCCCCCGGTGTTTTGTTTTTTAAAAGATTTCACTTATTTATTCGTGAAAGACACAGAAAGAGAAAAGCAGAGACAGAGGCAGAGGGAGAAGCAGGCTCCCTGCGGGGAGCCCAAAGCAGGACTGGCTCCAGGGTCAGGACCTTAGCCGAAGGCAGCCGCTCAACTGCTGAGCCACCCAGGCGTTCCTTATTAGGGGTTTTGTTATGATTAGGCTTCATAAAGGAACTGGCTGTGAGGTGGACCTCAGCTCAGCATCTGGAGGATTTGGGTCTTTAAGAATTAACTGGGAAATGAAAAAGCCAGGGTCAGTTGGTGGGACAGCACTTAGGTAGCTGGACAATAGGAGCCTAGAATCATTGTCGGAAGTCAGTTAAGGGTTAAATACTTTTCTTGTTTGCTTGCTTGCTTTCTTGCTCGTTCTTAGATTGAGTTATTTGAGAGAGAGTGAGAGCGAGTGGGGGGCAGGAGAAGAGGGAGAGCGACAGCGAGTCCTCAAGATTCCCTGCTGAGTGCAGAGCCCAATTCAGGGTTCTGTCCCAGGACCCTGGACCCTGAGATCATCTGAACTGAAATAGTCGGAGGCTTAACCCACTGAGCCACCCAAGCTGCGGTTAAATGCTTTTCTAAGAAAAAGCATAGGCTACCCAGTCTGGCTTCTGGTAGATTTCTGGGTTCTAAAGAATTGTTTTCATTTGATCGGTTTCTTTTGTTCTGTTATGCAGCCAGTGACAAAAAGCAGTGCTTAACTTATTTTAAGGACAGTGAAAAAAAAGGCTGATTGTGATTTCTGTCTAGTATTAACAATCAGGAAATTAAATTTGGTGTCTGCAAGTTGTTTTTGTGCTTGTGTTTAGTTTGGGAGAACACAGCTCGTGTGGTCTCTGCCACTCTGGCTGCAGCCAAGTGATGGGTGGCAAGATCTTTAGCCAGTTCCTAAGTGTTTTTACTGACATTTAGTTCACTTCCCAGACATGTCGTGTATTTCTTCTACCCAGTATTGTCCAAGAACCTTTGAAGCCATTCAAATAGGATGCCATGTCATTGCTCTGCAACATTATGACTAGTCTCAGGACCTCACTGGCTTAACTTTTTAATGCTTCTTTTAGAATCTTCTCCCGTTTTTTTTTTTTAAGTTTTTATTTTTATTTATTTATGATAGTCACACACAGAGGGGGGGGGCAGAGACAGAGACATAGGCAGAGGGAGAAGCAGGTTCCATGCACCGGGAGCCCGACGTGGGATTCGATCCCGGGTCTCCAGGATTGCGCCCTGGGCCAAAGGCAGGCGCTAAACCGCTGCGCCACCCAGGGATCCCTCTTCTTCTGTTTCTACCCATTGCTGTGTCTCCTCGTTACAGACAAACATCTGAAAAAGAGTGGTTTTAATAGGGGCCGTGGCTTTATTTATTTATTTATTTATTTATTTATTTATTTATTTATTTATTTATTTATTTATTTATGATAGTCACAGAGAGAGAGAGAGAGGCAGAGACACAGGCAGAGGGAGAAGCAGGCTCCATGCACCGGGAGCCCGATATGGGATTCGATCCCAGGTCTCCAGGATCGCGCCCTGGGCCAAAGGCACGCACCAAACCTCTGTGCCACCCAGGGATCCCTATTTCTGTTTTTAAGAGGGCTTTTTAAAAAGCAATTTACTGTGACATTTCTGTTAAAATGAAAAAAAAAGAAAAAGGATATGTGGAATTTAAGAAACGGAACAAACGATCATAGTGGAAAAAAAGAGACAAACCAAGCAAGACTCTTAATTATAGAGAACAAACTGATGGTTACCAGAGGGACGATGGGTGGGGGGATGGGTTAAATAGAAGATGGGGATTAAGGAGGGCCCTGTTTGTGATGAGCACCGGGTGATATATCTTAAGTATTGAATCACTAAATTGTACACTCAAAACTAATATTACTATATGTTAACTAAAATTTAAATAAAAATGTTAAAATGAGGGATCCCTGCGTGGCACAGCAGTTTAGCGCCTGCCTTTGGCCCAAGGCGCGATCCTGGAGACCCGGGATCGAATCCCACGTCGGACTCCCGGTGCATGGAGCCTGCTTCTCCCTCTGCCTATGTCTCTGCCTCTCTCTCTCGCTCTCTCTCTCTCTGTGTGACTATCATAAATAAAAATTTTTTTAAAAAAAATAAAAATGTTAAAATGAGCTCAGTATCATAGTTTTTTTATGATAAAAAAGGAAATGGAGGAAAGAGAGTTTTTAGCAAATTAATTTTTCATTTTGGATTTATTTTGATATAGAAATCTTTAAATTATCTTTCCCACAGTACAAATTGAATAAATTTGACGAGGTCTGAGGTTTGTGTATAATTACGGACCTAAGTGTAGTCCTGGGGACTATAACAACCTTTGGTGATGACACAAAATATGGTCATTTGCCCGTTGGACTTTTATGCTGTTTGGCTAAAAGTGCTATTTTCACAACATCTCCCAGTCTTTACACTGAATTTGGCTGTTATAATTTCATATTGAATGTTTAGTGTTGATTTAATCTTGTTATCACTCATGATTTATTTTTTTTTAATATCTGTTAAGTAAACTTCCAGGTCATTAAACGTTAACCTCGGGATACTTTTAATTTGGTTTTTAAGATGGTCAGCAGTTTAAAAAAATTAAAGAACAAAGATAAATTATTTTCCATTTCCGAACTGTGGTGAATTAATTTTTTTAAAAAGGGAGGGGGGCATGTTCGAAGTTACCGTGATTTTATATTATGACTTTGGAAATGGAGCCATGCATTCATTAATTATAAGTGAGTAGAAATACAGCTTGAGTCTGAATTTTGGAAATAAGTCTGGTTACAAATGTGATTATGTCAGCCCATGTTTCTTTCTTTTTTGTTTTTATTTGAGTGTTAGTGTTGCAAATGGACTTTTAGCAATGAAAACTCTATGCTTCTTGTTGTAATTTCTCTTTTTATCATTTAAACTTGAGTTCTTGTGAAAGTCTTTTCTACACTGGATTGTATTAGCTTGAGAAACAACTCATTGACAGAAGATTCTACTCATCTTTGCTTTACACTCTAATTGATGAGAGTTGAGATATGAATTGCCTTGCTTAAGGAGATGGAAAATAGGTTAACTGTCTTAAACTTCAAAAAAAATCTTGTGTTTTTATTGAAGGCCATGACTAAAAACACTTTATATATCTATGGCTTATGAAAATTTTGTTTGTTTCTTTTCAACTTGGCGTTGGACTTGAAACGTATTTATCAACCCTGGTATTATGCTTGATGACACAGCTTTTGGGGTCGGATGAATTAAGTCAGAGCCTGTCTCTGCCACTTATTACCTTGCACAAATTACTTAACCTCTTTTGACTCCGTTTCCTCTTCCATAAAATCAGGATAGGAGTATCTACCTAGCAGTCTTTTGTCTTTCTTTTTTTTTTTAATATTTTATTTATTTATTCATGAAAGACACAGAGGAGAGAGAGAGGCAGAGACACAGGCAGAGGAAAAAGCAGGCTCCATGCAGGGAGCCCGATGTGGGACTCGATCCCGGGTCTCCAG